TTGCCAGTGGAGACACGGTGGCCTTGCTAGTGGAGACACAGTGGCCTTGCCAGTGGAGACACGGTGGCCTTGTCAGTGGAGACACGGTGGCCTTGCTAGTGGAGACACAGTGGCCTTGCCAGTGGAGACACAGTGGCCTTGCTAGTGGAGACACAGTGGCCTTGCCAGTGGAGACACGGTGGCCTTGTCAGTGGAGACACGGTGGCCTTGCTAGTGGAGACACGGTGGCCTTGCCAGTGGAGACACAGTGGCCTTGCTAGTGGAGACACAGTGGCCTTGCCAGTGGAGACACAGTGGCCTTGCTAGTGGAGACACGGTGGCCTTGCTAGTGGAGACACAGTGGCCTTGCCAGTGGAGACACAGTGGCCTTGCTAGTGGAGACACAGTGGCCTTGCTAGTGGAGACACAGTGGCCTTGCCAGTGGAGACACAGTGGCCTTGCTAGTGGAGACACGGTGGCCTTGCCAGTGGAGACACAGTGGCCTTGCTAGTGGAGACACAGTGGCCTTGCCAGTGGAGACACGGTGGCCTTGCTAGTGGAGACACAGTGGCCTTGCCAGTGGAGACACAGTGGCCTTGCCAGTGGAGACAGTGGCCTTGCTAGTGGAGACACAGTGGCCTTGCTAGTGGAGACACAGTGGCCTTGCCAGTGGAGACACAGTGGCCTTGCCAGTGGAGACAGTGGCCTTGCTAGTGGAGACACAGTGGCCTTGCCAGTGGAGACACGGTGGCCTTGCTAGTGGAGACACAGTGGCCTTGCTAGTGGAGACACAGTGGCCTTGCCAGTGGAGACACAGTGGCCTTGCTAGTGGAGACACAGTGGCCTTGCTAGTGGAGACACAGTGGCCTTGTCAGTGGAGACACAGTGGCCTTGCCAGTGGAGACACAGTGGCCTTGCTAGTGGAGACACAGTGGCCTTGCCAGTGGAGACACAGTGGCCTTGTCAGTGGAGACACAGTGGCCTTGTCAGTGGAGACACGGTGGCCTTGCCAGTGGAGACACAGTGGCCTTGCCAGTGGAGACACAGTGGCCTTGCTAGTGGAGACACGGTGGCCTTGCTAGTGGAGACACAGTGGCCTTGCTAGTGGACACACGGTGGCCTTGCCAGTGGAGACACAGTGGCCTTGCTAGTGGAGACACGGTGGCCTTGCTAGTGGAGACACAGTGGCCTTGCTAGTGGAGACACAGTGGCCTTGCCAGTGGAGACACAGTGGCCTTGCTAGTGGAGACACAGTGGCCTTGCTAGTGGAGACACAGTGGCCTTGTCAGTGGAGACACAGTGGCCTTGCCAGTGGAGACACAGTGGCCTTGCCAGTGCTTGTGCTCGTGGAGACACGTTCAAGTTCATTCATTAGGTATATCCCTGTGAGCCATGCGGCTCTTAAGGTCGGGTTGCAACCGCAACAAACTAAATATGAACACAGAACATCTTAAAGCGACGAGTTTTCATGTTTGCGTGTGGTGCGAGTATAATGATGTCGTGTGCGAGTGTGTGTGTGAGTTTAGATATATATATTGTTATGCACGTACGAGACCAGTGGGCCGTGCACAATTGTTATGATGGGTTCTTATCATATTATTTATAAATGTGTCGTAACCCTCCACCATCTGACACGGCCAATCAGCAAAAAAAATGTGCCACGTTTTTCAAAGGACAAATTAATGGACTTCTTTAGCCCACCGGTGGTCTGCTGAAGAGAGAATCAACAGCAGCTTGGCCGTGTCGGGTGGTGGAGGGTTACGACACATTTATAAATAACGCGATCCGACCCAAAAAAAAAACTTTATTATTAATAATATAATATTGGTCGCGAAAGCCTGACACGTGTTCAATATATTGCATTCTAAAAAATGTTTGGGGCCATTCGACTGTTGGAAATGTCCCACAAGACGAGCCGTCGCCTCTGTCAACCAGCTGCGTAGTTCATCTGGGTTCGAGACCCTTACTCTGGTAATTAAATTTAATGTTTTACACTTTTAATTTCGGTTTTTAGTTTACAACAAACGTTAAAATGGTTCGCCATAGGCCTCAAGTTCAAGTCCGTCCCCATGGCAACGGACGAGACTTTAGGGGGGGGGGGAAGGGAGTGACGTCACAGCCCCCCCCCCACCACCGCCCCCGCTCACCTCCCATTGGCTGAGCCGCGATCACGCGGGGGGCGGGGGGGGGCGGGGCGGGGGGCGGGGGGGGTGGTTTGACCCGCCACCACGTGACCGATGGAGCTAGTAGATATCGTAGCGCGGATAGGGAGAGTGGTGACGGTGGGTGGGGGGGACCGTGGGTTTGTAAAACATCCCCCGCATAGGGGTGGGGTGATTGACATGGGGAGGAGGCTGAGACTCTGGGGGGGGGGGGGGAGTGGTGGTGGTGGTGATGGTGGTGGTGATGATGATGATGGTGGTGGTGGTGGTGATGGTGGTGGTGATGGTGGTGGTGATGATGATGATGGTGGTGGTGGTGGTGATGGTGGTGGTGATGGTGGTGGTGATGGTGGTGGTGGTGGTGATGGTGGTGGTGGTGGTGGTGATGGTGGTGATGGTGGTGATGATGGTGGTGATGATGGTGATGGTGGTGGTGATGATGGTGATGGTGGTGATGGTGGTGATGGTGGTGGTGGTGATGATGATGTGGTGGTGGTGGTGATGGTGGTGGTGATGGTGGTGTGATGGTGGTGTGATGATGATGATGGTGGTGGTGGTGGTGATGGTGGTGGTGATGGTGGTGGTGATGGTGGTGGTGATGATGATGATGGTGGTGGTGGTGGTGATGGTGGTGGTGATGGTGGTGGTGATGGTGGTGGTGGTGGTGATGGTGGTGGTGGTGGTGATGGTGGTGGTGGTGGTGGTGATGGTGGTGGTGATGGTGGTGGTGGTGATGGTGGGTGGTGATGGTGGTGATGATGGTGATGGTGGTGGTGATGATGGTGATGGTGGTGATGGTGGTGATGGTGGTGGTGGTGATGATGGTGGTGGTGATGGTGGTGATGATGGTGATGGTGGTGGTGGTGATGGTGGTGGTGATGGTCGTGGTGGTGATGGTGATGGTGGTGATGGTGGTGGTGATGGTGGTGGTGATGGTGATGGTGGTGGTGATGATGGTGGTGGTGATGGTGGTGGTGGTGATGGTGGTGGTGGTGATGGTGGTGGTGGTGATGGTGGTGGTGGTGATGGTGATGATGATGGTGGTGATGGTGGTGGTGATGGTGGTGGTGATGGTGGTGGTGATGATGATGGTGGTGGTGATGGTGGTGGTGATGGTGGTGATGGTGGTGGTGGTGATGGTGATGGTGATGATGATGATGGTGGTGGTGATGGTGGTGGTGGTGATGATGATGATGGTGGTGATGGTGGTGGTGATGGTGGTGGTGATAGTGGTGGTGGTGGTGATAGTGGTGGTGGTGGTGATGGTGGTGGTGGTGATGGTGGTGGTGATGGTGGTGGTGGTGATGGTGGTGGTGATGGTGGTGGTGGTGACAGCTAGCTCAGAGACGCGTTTAAATGAATAAAATGTGTTTTAAGAACGACGACGAGACGACCGGTGACGAGTGGCGAGGTGAAGAGAAGGATAAGCGTGTTTATATAATGTATATATAATGTATATACAGTGTGTCACTGTGTGTGTGTGTCACTGTGTGTGTCACTGTGTGTGATGTGTGTGTCACTGTGTGTGTGTGTGTGTGTCAGTGTGTCACTGTGTGTGTGTCACTGTGCGTGTCTCTGTGTGTGTGTGTCAGTGTGTCACTGTGTGTGTGTGTCACTGTGCGTGTCTCTGTGTGTGTGTCAGTGTGTCACTGTGTGTGTGTGTCACTGTGTGTGTTACTGTGTGTGTGTGTCACTGTGTGTGTCACTGTGTATGTGTCACTGTGTGTCACTGTGTATGTGTCACTGTGTGTCACTGTGTGTGTGTGTCACTGTGAGTGTCTCTGTGTGTGTGTCACTGTGAGTGTCTCTGTGTGTGTGTCACTGTGTGTGTCACTGTGTGTGTGTCACCGTGTGTGTGTCACTGTGTGCGTGTCACTGTGTGTGTCACTGTGTGTGTGTGTCATTGTGCGTGTCAGTGTGTCACTGCGTGTCAGTGTGTCACTGTGTGTGTGTGTCACTGTGTGTGTTACTGTGTGTGTTTGTCACTGTGTGTGTCACTGTGTGTGTGTGTCACTGTGTGTGTCACTGTGTATGTGTCACTGTGTGTGTCACTGTGTGTGTGTGTCACTGTGAGTGTCTCTGTGTGTGTGTCACTGTGTGTGTCACTGGTGTGTGTGTCACTGTGTGTCACTGTGTGTGTGTCACTGTGTGTGTCACTGTGTGTGTGTGTGTCACTGTGTGTGTCACTGTGTGTGTGTGTCACTGTGTGTGTCACTGTGTATGTGTCACTGTGTGTCACTGTGTGTGTGTGTCACTGTGAGTGTCTCTGTGTGTGTGTCACTGTGTGTGTCACTGTGTGTGTGTCACTGTGTGTGTCACTGTGTGTGTGTCACTGTGTGTGTCACTGTGTGTGTGTCACTGTGTGTGTCACTGTGTATGTGTCACTGTGTGTCACTGTGTGTGTGTGTCACTGTGAGTGTCTGTGTGTGTGTCACTGTGTGTGTCACTGTGTGTGTGTCACTGTGTGTGTCACTGTGTGTGTGTTACTGTGTGTGTCACTGTGTGTGTGTCACTGTGTGTGTGTCACTGTGTGTGTGTCACTGTGTGTGTCACTGTGTGTGTGTGTGTCACTGTGTGTGTGTGTGTCACTGTGTGTGTGTGTGTCACTGTGTGTGTGTGTGTCACTGTGTGTGTCACTGTGTGTGTGTCACTGTGTGTGTCTCTGTGTGTGTCACTGTGTGTGTGTGTGTCTCTGTGTGTGTCACTGTGTGTGTGTGTGTCACTGTGTGTGTCACTGGCCACCCACCCCCTCGTGTACCGTTGCGGCCTTCACAGGTGCTCTCTAACAGCACTTGCCCCTACAGTCTTTATATAATGTATATATAATAATGTATATATATAATATATAACCTCCAGTACCTTCATGTTCACGTCCGCCGCTTTCCACTCGGGCCTCACGTGCTTGAGCAGCTGCAGGGCGCCCGCCTGCAGGTCGTCTTCGTGCACGAACACGGGCAGCCGGGGCACCGTGGGAGAGCCGGGCACGTGGATACGAGTCGCCATTCCTCCCTGTTGGTGCTGCTGCTGGTGGTGGTGATGGTGGTGGTGGTAGTGACGCCTCCTCTCACTCTCCTACTTTCCTTCCTTTCCTTCCTTTTCTTTCCCTTCCTTCCTTGTACGTCGCTCGCTCGCTCGTTCGACTACCGCCGAGAGACGCGCGCGCAGCGGTATTTATAGAGGCTCGGTGACGTCATCGAGGTGTACGTCACTCGGTTCGACACGCACACGCGCGCACGCGCTGTGTGCGTGGTGACGTCATCACGCATAGCCAGCCCCTGCATACACACACTGTGTGCGTGGTGACGTCATCACGCACACACACCCCACACAACACACACACACACGCGCTGTGTGCGTGGTGACGTCATCACGCACAGCCAGCCCCTGCATACACACACACTGTGTGCGTCGTGACGTCATCACGCACACACAACACACACTGTGTGCGTGGTGACGTCATCACGCACACACACAACACACACACTGTGTGCGTGGTGACGTCATCACGCACACACCCCACACACAACATACACACTGTGTGCGTGGTGACGTCATCACGCACACACACCCCACACACAACACACACACGCGCTGTGTGCGTGGTGACGTCATCACGCACAGCCAGATCCTGCCCCTGCATACACACACACTGTGTGCGTCGTGACGTCATCACGCATAGCCAGCCCCTCCCCCCGCATACACACCCCACACTCTGTGCGTCGTGACGTCATCACGCATAGCCAGCCCCTCCCCCCGCATACACAGTGTGCGTCGTGACGTCATCACGCAGAACCAGCCCCTCCCCCCGCACACACACACTGTGTGCGTCGTGACGTCATCACGCATAGCCAGATCCTCCTGCACACAGTGTGCGTCGTGACGTCATCGCGCAAAGCCAGCCCCTCCCCCCGCACACATCACACACACTGTGTGCGTCGTGACGTCATCACGCAGAACCAGCCCCTCCCCCCGCACACACCCCACACAGTGTGCGTCGTGACGTCATCACGCATAGCCAGCCCCTCCCCCCGCACACACACCCCACACACTCTGTGCGTCGTGACGTCATCACGCATAGCCAGCCCCTCCCCCCGCATACACACACCACACACTGTGTGCGTCGTGACGTCATCACGCAGAGCCCCCACCCCCACTTCCCCCTTCTGACGTCATCGCGCTCGGTCTGTTTCGCGTCTTCGGGTCGTTGCGTCATGACGTCACGAGGTTCAACCCCCCTCCCCCGTGCGTCATGACGTCATCGCGCACAGCCCCCACCCCCACTTCCCCCTTCTGACGTCATCGCGCTCTGTCTGTTGCGCGTCTTCGGGTCGTTGCGTCGTGACGTCACGATGCTCAAACCTCCCCCCCCCCCCGTGCGTCGTGACGTCATCGCGCACATTAGCGCGCGTCTCGTGATATCAAGCACAACGTGACCCCTTTGGACGGTGTTCTGACGTCATCACGCACGGTGGCCCGATCCACCTTGGGCGTGGTGACGTCATCGCGCGCGAGCGTAATTAATTATTCGTCGTGCGTTGCGGTGACGTCACAGCACACGTTTCAAAGTGGTCCGTGTAAAGGTCGGGTGACGTTTCCGTCCCGACCGGGGACCCGTGCGACGTGGTGACGTCACCACGCACCATTTAAATCGGGTCCCGTGCGACGTGGTGACGTCACCACGCACCATTTGACCGGTCCCGTGCGACGTGGTGACGTCACCACGCCCCATTTAAATCGGGTCCCGTGCGACGTGGTGACGTCACCACGCACCATTTAAATCGGGTCCCGTGCGACGTGGTGACGTCACCGCGCACAATTTCAAACGCGCCCGTGCGGCGTGGTGACGTCACCGCGCACCATTGAAATCGGGTCCCGTGCGGCGTGGTGACGTCACCACGCACCATTGAAATCGGGTCCCGTGCGACGTGGTGACGTCACCGCGCACCATTGAAATCGAATCCCGTGCGACGTGGTGACGTCACCGCGCACCATTCAAATCGAATCCCGTGCGACGTGGTGACGTCACCACGCACCATTGAAATCGGGTCCCGTGTGACGTGGTGACGTCACCGCGCACCATTGAAATCGAATCCCGTGCGACGTGGTGACGTCACCACGCACCACTTTTCACCGAGCTTGCGCTGCGTGGTGACGTCACCACGCACCACTTTGCACCCAGCTTGCACTGCGCGGTGACGTCACAATCATCAACTGCCATTCATTGACACCGCGTGACGTCACCACGTCGGGAACATTGTAGGAATTACACGTCGGTCGACGTTTCAGACAATGGGCCTTCATCAGGAGTAGTGAGATTTGATGAGCGTGAGGGTTGGGGGGGGGGGGCTGGCTGAACTTTTTATTATAAGTATAACCCCTAACAACAAAGTTTTTCACTATAAATCCTTCATATGCGTGGCATCGGCTAGAGTCCTCTCGTCCTCTGGCTTGAGATGGCTGCCACCTATGGGTCAGATGATTGTCTGCCACCATTAAGCAATTGGTAATTAAATATTTAATTTGTTTTCCCTAAACAGTGTAACATTTGGGATTTTTTTTTTCACGAACATTAATTGTCTCGCACAACGAGTCTGTGTGCAAAATGTCAGCTCGATTGGATCACGGGAAGTGGGTTAAAAAACGACCGAAAGATTTGCACGGTCGTAAGCAAGCAAGCACGCAAGCAAGTGAACTTAATATAAAGGATTTAATAAGTATAACCCGTAAAAACAAAGTTTTTCACTATAAATCCTTTATATGCGTGGCGGCTAGAGTCCTCTCGTCCTCTGGCTTGAGATGGCTGCCACCTATGGGTTAGATGATTGTCTGCCAGTATTAAGCAATTGGTAATTAAATATTTAATTTGTTTTCCCTAAACAGTGTAAAATTTTTGAAAAAAAATTTCACGAACATTAATTGTCTCGCACAACGAGTCTGTGCAAAATGTCAGCTCGATTGGATCACGGGAAGTGGGTTAAAAAACGACCGAAAGATTTGCACGGTCGTAAGCAAGCAAGCAAGCGCGCAAGCGAACTTAATATAAAGGATTTAAAAAAGTTTTTTTTTATTACTTATTTTTCTGGATCTTCCACAACGCGGCTCGCGGTCCGCCCTAAATCGCATCCACCGCACAGACCGTGGCAAGCGGTAGCTGCGGGGCACCTGATGCACGAAAGGAAGATACTTACTCTTAGTTCTGTGTGCAAAAATCCCAGTGGGATGCAAGTCAAACAACAACAACAACCACAAGACAACTCAGATTAAGGCCATCAGTCTAACTCTGTACTACAACAAACAAACATGGCTAAACCAATACACTTTTCGAAATCACCAAAATAAAGCCATGAAAGCACATTAAGATGTATTCTTGTTTTTGTTTTTTGTTTGTTGCGGTTGCACCCGATTCAAGATCCGAATGGCTCACAGGGCTATACACAATACTGTAAATAAACTTGAACTTGAAAATCCCTCCCCAGGGCAGGTCCCGTCCAGCAAGCCCACCTGGGAGCAGAGGTCGCAAACGGGTTTTGATTCCTTACCCGTACCCGGCCGCACCAGGGTCGCAAACGGGTACCCGTACCCTACCCGATACCCGGCTACCCGTACCCGGCCGGGTATCGGGTAGGGTACGGGTACGGGTACCTGATTGCGACCTCTGGGATGAAGCCATGTTGCAGGTGCGGGTGGGTTGATTCTAGGAACTTGAATTGTGAGAAGAGACAAGACGTTGGGAAATGAGTGACAAACGGTGACTCACCAGTGACTCACCAGTGACTCACTGCCTACCCGTACCCGTACCCGGCCGCACCAGGGTCGCAAACGGGTACCCGTACCCGGCCGGGTACGGGTAGCCGGGTATCGGGGAGGGTACAGGTATCGGGTACCTGGTTGCGACCTCTTCCTGGGAGGCACGCCCAGCCTGGCAGCTGGCCTCATCCTTGGACCCCCCAGGGCCTCTTTCGATGCTTTGGCGTTCAAATCGTGAAGTTAATTACCGGCGAAACGTCACGAAGCTGGAATGTGTAAATGCTGTCGTGGGTTTGAATCTCCAACGCACAACATTCGGTGTAGTGCTGAACGAGTCACCGATGGGCACGGTTTTGTTAACCGTTGCAAACCTCTTGTTCATTGGCTGCATCGGGTAGTGGCTGGTTTAACGACAAATTTATAACCCTAAAAGAAAGCTCTATTATGGAAGCGTGTTTGTATTACAAAATCCTCCTAAGGGCTTTCGGGATTTGATTAACACGAAAGCGGAACGCTCGTAGCTTTGAGCGACATTCTTAGAATTCTAAAGGTAATAAACTAACAAAAAATACTGGAGCAAGATTTGGTGATTAGGTACCACAACAACAACTAAAAGCAGACCGTGCAACGAATGATACAGTAATTTTGCTGTGACGGTTCCACCTGAAGACGGAAGCTTGTGTTGTCTCCGAAACGTCGTGATTTTATTTATTTTAACTTTTAACCTACGTGACTTTACCGAAAAAAACAAAGATTACGAATCCTTGCCGTCACGAAAACTTCAAATCTAGAATGAATTTCGATTTAACGCTTCTTTCGTGACTGCAAGGATTCGTAATCTTTGTTTTTTCGGTAAAGTCACGTAGAAGGGAAATAATAAAATAATACAAATAAAATATCATAAAATAATTCTCACGACGTTTCGGCCACAACGCAAGCAGCCGTCGTCAGGTGAAGAACAGGTCTGTCGGAAAGACAGACGCTGGCCGAAACGTCGTGAGAATTATTTTATTATGTTTTATTTTTATTATTTTATTATTTCCCTTCTAGAATGAATGTTCCATGTGCCGCGGTGGTAGGATCGTTGCCCGAAACGTTACACACACGCATTTATGTTGTCACCTTCGAATGTGTTGAGATGTATTGAGAAACCATATATGTGTGTGTGACGTTTCGGGCAATGACCCTACCACTGCGGCACATGGAACATTCATTCTAGAAGGAAAATAATAAAATAATAAAAATAAAACATTATAAAATAATTCTCACGACGTTTCGGCCACAACGCAACTCCACCCCATCGGCCAGCGTCTGTCTTTCCGACAGACCTGTTCTTCACCTGAGGACGGCTGCTTGCGTTGTGGCCGAAACGTCGTGAGGATTATTTGACTATATTTATTTTTTTATTGTTGTCACTGTATTTACAAAGGATTAAGGTCCCCCGTGTAGCCTTTAAGCTTGCAGGGGTGGGGAACCTTTTTTCTGCCAGGTGACATTTGGATATTTACAACATCATTCGCGAGCCATACAAAGTGATCAACTTAAAAGTTTGCCTTCTTATATTTGGTCAAACATTTCATGAACTCGCCCCTAATGCAATGGGCTGGAACCGTTTCTATTTGGTGAGGCGTGTGGTGATGTTAGCCGGTGTTGATGATGTTCTCTGTGTGCCTATCTTTGTCTCTCTCTCTATGTATCTCTGTGATATCTGTCTGCTTATATGTCTGTCTCTATGTCTCTGGTTCTGTGTTTGATCTCTCTCTCAAATGTAGCATTCTCAGGAAGAACGTAATCAACCAGGTAGGGTGTTGACTGTTATGTTATCCGACTCTCTGTTGTAGTAGTGTGTAGTGTATAGTAGTGTATAGTGTAGTATAGTAGTGTATAGTGTAGTGTAGTAGTGTATTGTAGTGTATAGTGTAGTGTAGTAGTGTATAGTGTGTAGTGTATAGTGTAGTGTGTAGTGTAGTAGTGTATAGTGTAGTGTAGTAGTGTATAGTGTAGTGTGTAGTGTAGTGTAGTAGTGTATTGTATTGTAGTGTGTAGTGTAGTGTAGTAGTGTATAGTGTAGTGTATAGTGTAGTAATGTATAGGTAGGGTGTTGACTGTTATGTTATCCGACTCTCTGTTGTATTACATGACATTTCTAAGTCTACTAGATTTGTGTTTATATTTCATTTATACCTGATGATGATTGCTTGTGTTGCAATCGAAACTTCGTATGCTAGTATTTAATTCATTACTTTCTCTTTATACGTGACTTTACCGAAAGCACCAAAGAGTAATTGATGATGTTGCTGCTACTCGCAACTGCTCTTCCAGGTTTGCTCCTAGATTTGTTGAATTTCGAGTCTCGCCTGTGGTTACCTTTGGCAGGGCCAGACCCAGAAGATTTCGAGGGCCTCGTACGACCCACGGGCCAGACGTTTTCCACCCCTGAGACTGTTGGGTCAAGAGCTGTTAGCGAGTAGCAGCGCCAATGAAGGCCACCACTGTTGGAGGTGTGTGGCCAGCACCACGCCCGGCCGCCTTTGTCTCCCCAGTGGCGATGTTTACCACACACCGCACCAGGTACTCATTTGAGGCTGAGTCGACCTAGGTGAGACCCAGGAACCGGTGCAGATGAATTTAATAATAGCATACTACGACGTTTCGATTGCAACACAAGCAATCATCATCAGGTATAAAAGAAATAGCAACAAAAATCTAACCAGAAAACTATGTCTGTCTGCCTATATGTCTGTCTATAGTTTTCTGATTAGATTTTTGTTGCTATTTCTTTAGTACCTGATGATGATTGCTTGTGTTGCAATCGAAACGTCGTAGTATGCTATTATTTAATTTATTACTTTATCTTTATAACCACAATAACCCACACACCTGGTAAAATAATAGTATTTTTCAAAAGTAGTTAATACTTGAAGTTTGCGGTGTCTCTCTCTCTGTGTGTCTGTTTCTCTCTCTCTCCCCGTGGTCGCGTGGATTTTGTGTCCGGTGTCCTCTCTCTGTTTCCCTTGCCTCCACTCGTTAAGAAACAACGTCACCACGCGTTTGGGACTTGTTTGGCTACGGCTCTACATTCACACACGACGATGACGACGACGACGATCCACTTTGTTGAGCCGTTATCGTTTTTGATGAGCCCACGATCGCTTCTGAAACAAATAATTAATTTAGAGATAGGTGGCGGCTCAGCGATGGGCTAATTCAACTGGCTAAAATTAGAAAACCCGTACTTTTTTTTTGGTAAAGTCACGTCGGTGAAAATAAATGAATGAAAAAACAACTCTATTTTTTTTCATTTCAAAATTGAATTTTTAAAATTGTTTTTTAATTTATTTATGAATCCTTGCAGTCACGAAAACTTCAAATCTAGAATTAAAACCCATACTCTTTAGTTCTTTCGGTAAAGTCACGTAGGTATGAAATAAAACAAAATAAATTAAAATTATTTTTCTATACCAAATAAATGAAACTGAAAAATAAATGAATGAAAGGTATAAAATAAAATAAATCACGACGTTTTGGGCACAACGCAAGCAGCTGCCCTGCTTGCGTTGTGGCCGAAACGTCGTGAGAATTGTATTTTATTGTTTTATTTTTATTATTCTATTATTTCCCTTCTAAGTGACTTTACTGAAAGAACCAAAGATCCTTGCAGTCACAAAAACTTCAAATCTCGATTAAGAAAACTGACTTGATCAGTCTTTTCGCTTGCTTGCTTGCGTGCTTGCTTGCGTGCTTGCTTGCTTGCTTACGACCGTGCAAACCTTTCGGTCGTTTTTTAACCCACTTCCCGTGATCCAATCGAGCTGACATTTTGCACACAGACTCGTTATGCGAGACAATTATTCCAAAATTTTACACTGTTTAGGGAAAACAAATTAAATATTTAATTACCAATTGCTTAATGGTGCAATGCAATCATCTGACCCATAGGTGGCAGCCATCTCAAGCCAGAGGACGAGAGGACTCTAGCCGCCACGCATATAAAGGATTTAGAGTGAAAAACTTTGTTTTTACGGGTTATACTTATTTCCCCTTGCTGTGGTTGTCCCACCTGATGACGATTGCTCGTGTTGCAATCGAAACGTCGCGATTGATTATTTCTCCACTCTACGTGATCGTCTTGGTTCTTTCGGTAAAGTCACGTAGAAGGGAAATAATAAAATAATAAAAAAAACCATAATAAAATACAATTCTCACGACGTTTCGGCCACAACGCAAGCAGCCGTCCTCAGCTGAAGAAACACAGAGCTGTCGGACAGACAGCGTCTGCAGTCACGAAAGCTTTAAATCGACATGTGTTTAATGCTCAGTCGTAGTAGCACTTTCACGGCCAATATTATACACAATAGAGGTGATCTTTCGTGAGGTTTAGATCGCGTAATGACTATAGATGTTAATTTAGATTTAAAGCTTCTTTCGTGACTGCAGGGATTCGTCTTCTTGGTTCTTTCGTTAAAGTCACGTAGAAGGGAAATGATAAAATAATAAAAATAAAACATAATAAATAATTTCGATTTAAAGCTTTCGTGACTGCAGGGATTCATCTTCTTGGTTCTTTCGGTAAAGTCACGTAGAAGGGAAATGATAAAATAATAAAAATAAAACATAATAAATAATTTCGATTTAAAGCTTCTTTCGTGACTGCAGGGATTCGTCTTTTTGATTCTTTCGTTAAAGTCACGTAGAAGGGAAGTAATAAAATAATACAAATAAAACATAATAAATAATTTCGATTTAAAGCTTTCGTGACTGCAGGGATTCGTCTTTTTGGTTCTTTCGTTAAAGTCACGTAGAAGGGAAATAATAAAATAATAAAAATAAAACATAATAAATAATTTCGATTTAAAGCTTTCGTGACTGCAGGGATTCATCTTCTTGGTTCTTTCGGTAAAGTCACGTAGAAGGGAAATGATAAAATAATAAAAATAAAACATAATAAATAATTTCGATTAAAAGCTTTCGTGACTGCAGGGATTCATCTTCTTGGTTCTTTCGGTAAAGTCACGTAGAAGGGAAGTAATAAAATAATAAAAATAAAACATAATAAAATACAATTCTCACGACGTTTCGGCCACAACGCAAGCAGCCGTCCTCACCCGCCTGGGTACGGGTAGCCGGGTGTCGGGTAGGGTACGGGTATCGGGTACCCGGTTGCGACCTCTGCTGTGCCGCCCTTGTCAGTGAGTTGCTTCCGCGTCAAAGGCGACGCTGGGGTTACACGCCGTCTGGTGTCTGGCCACGGTGAGTGCAGCGAGGTCCCGGATCACTGCGGCCAAATCGCCTTCACGGGGCTCTGGGGAAAACCTTTGGCGCTCTCTTCTCTGTGCGTGAGTAAA